GGGGGGGGGGGGGGGGGGGGGGGGGGGGGGGGGGGGGGGGGGGGGGGGGGGGGGGGGGGGGGGGGGGGGGGGGGGGGGGGGGGGGGGGGGGGGGGGGAAGACTATTGTTGATAGGGGAGTTAGATTTATGTCACTGTCCAGGGGGATACTTTTTGGAGAGACCTAAGCTATTCATTGCTTTGAACATCAATAGACTACCTAGTATATTTATGGACAGAAGTAGTTCAGGGATCTGTTGGCTAGAAAATTCACGTGTTTTGAATTGATTTTCTTCATATATTAAATATTCTATAGGCATTTCACATTAGTTTCAACCAGCTCTGCAAGTGACCTTTTCCTGTAGTGTCTGTAGTTTCTTACTATGTCTATTGGTTTATGATACTTTTTACATAGATTTGCCACTCTTGCAACCCGCATGGAGCAGTACATTCAGGGACAATCAAGGGATTTGGTTGATCAGGCATATACAAAATTTGTGAGTTCTCCCTTTCAAAATCATTTTCTGGACTTATAATGAATATTTTAGCCTCAATTTACGTGATCTGATAGAATAACAATTCACAATGATTAAACAATTGAGTTTAGTTTGCTTCCCTCTCTCTTTATTGTAATCTATATATCTTGATTCAACAATACAACATGAGATATTGACCCATAATGTTTAGTTTCTTATAATATTCGTGGTTGGTTTGGAAGTCGCTGGCAATATATTTCTGAGGCTGATTCATGATAAAATAATTTTTGGCATACTATAACTCCACAATACATAAATTATCTCAGAAACATATATGTTACATAAGTAACAAAAATCACATTGATACACATACGGTCAAATAATCTCTTGAACAAGGATTTGTTAGTGTGTATCACTTTTGCATATTCATTCTCTGATCATGTTATAAATATAGATTACCTTCATCTTGTAGTAGTGTCCAAGAACCCTTGTAATCTAATCTTATTTGATTTTTTGTTGTAGTTATCATAGATTTCCCTTCTTTTGCTTATGCGTTATGGTTAGTGTGCAATTTTTGAAAAAAATTGTTTGGTAGGTCACTGTAATGTTTGCGACATTGGATAAAGTTGCTCAGACTGACCAAAGATATACAGATATTATGCTTCTAGAAAATTATGCAGCTTTTCAAAACAGGTATCATTGACTTCTGATGTCCTCATATATCACATATTTTATGTGATACTTTGACTCTATAACCATAAATTTTCTGTTAAGTCAGTTCATGATATTACAGAAATTATAATAATGTCTGCATGTTGACTGAAATGCCTGCAGTCTGTACGACCTGGCCAATGTTGTATCCATTTTAGCAAAGTTTTATCACCAAGCAAGTGAATCTTATGAACAAGCTTGCACTCGCTTTATCAGCACAATCATATACTCAGTAAGTTACTCAACCTTTATACTTACTTCTGTTTTAGTTTCATCATTGCTGCATATGGTATGATATATGGTTGAATTTTTTAGCGAACTTCCCCTCATAAAGTTCTCATTTTCACTCCCTAAAATTTTGTATTTTAATCTTTCTCAAATGCAGCAATTTGACCGGCTTTTCCAGTTTTCACATAGAATTGAGGATTTGATGTTCACAATCACACCAGAAGAGGTAAGTCTATGCAGATTGTATAAAATACCTAAATCCTTCTTGAGATGTATGTATTTACAATCAGGCAGTTATGAACATCTTTATTTTCCTACCTTATAGAAAAGGATCCATGATCCTAAACTGGTCTTATGTGGGATTGCAAATCCCAAGTTTGTCTATGAAGAATAGATCTAGTTGTATTAGTGTTTATAATTGATTTCTCATGTGTAATACTAATCAATAGGGCCTTATTGGTTAGTGATATAAGATCTTATGCATTGGACCCATGGTTGTGGAGCCGAATCTATTAGTATAGAACATTTTCTTTTCCAACTGAAATCCTCTAGTATAAGAAAGTGAAAAAGTGCTTTTTATTTTCTCTATGCAAGGATAATATTTTTATTTTTATGTTGGTTTTGCTGAAATGTGTTTCGGGCGCTCCAGATTATCCCATTGTCTAATTTATTTTTGCTATCGATTTAGTCCCTTGAGCCTTATAGCATTATGTTCCCTTGCACATCAGTAAACGAATTTTCTTTAACATGATGTGTAGGACTGTATTTTGCCAGATGTTTTTCAGCTGATATTCAATTTCTATACTTCCATGGGACTGCATACCCCCTATGTGTGAAGCATTTGTTAAAATATCAAGAGAGCTTTGGAAAAGCTGATTCTCTCTTTACCACAATTCTCATTAAAAAGGCAATCAGCCCAATGCTTTAAAAGGAAAAGAGAAATTATAGGAGATCTCCTAATATCTAACTATAATTCCCTGAAAACTAGGATCTAAATATGAATAAAAATATTGTACAACTAGGTTAGCTTATACAATTATTATTGACATATGAGTAACAGTAAACATGTGATGGTTGGGCCTTAGGGCCAACACAACCATCCCTAGGGCTTTAGTTACTTGTGTTAACAGCATTACCCTTGTTGATGAGGGCTCTCATTGTAATAATTATGCATGCTCATTCCTGCTCACCATTTTTACGTCACCAGGAATTTTAGATTTCTCCGTTTGATCCCAACTTATGATTTCATTAATCTTTGGAACTGTCTCTGCCTCCACAAAACCACAAACTGAACATCTAATAAATTTTGGGTTGGTTACATCAATCCTTTTCTGCCTGTCTCAGCCTCCATGTGCAGAATAAGTAATAGTTGAGAAGTCTAATGTCCTCTATGCTTATGTTCTCTATTTGATATGCTTCTTGCGTACTTTAGGTAGTTTATTCAATTATGGTTTTGACTTTGTACCTGACACTGCCATTTATGATTTCACTTGAGCACATGATGGCTCGAGTTACTCTCCCAAAAGATTGTAATTAGTTTGACGAGTAAAAGATTGATACTACTTATTGGCAGAAGGTTTTATGGTTCAACTTGATATGTACAATATTTGAAATCTATTTTTCAAACAGCTCAATGAGATATTCTTGATTTGTTATGAAGAGAACACAAAAGAAAACTGAGAATTGCAAAGTGCATATTAGCAGCGCTATGAAATATAGCTCAGCTGCTATTAGTGTTACGTCACTAGCAGTTTTCCATGATCGTGGATCACATTCTTATATTATTAGCTCCATATGGACCTAGCTTTTGAGTCTTGTTATTACTTGTGTCATTTCCTGTATTTGCTTTCAAAGTTTTAATTAAGTTATCCGTGATTATAACTGATGCATCGAAAAAAATTCAGATCCCATTCCAGCTTGGACTGTCAAAAATGGATCTGCGGAAGGTTGTAAAATCAAGTTTATCTGGTGTAAGTAAATCCCTAAACCTAATGAATCTGGCATCTTTTTTTTTTTGGATATATTTTCTGAGTACATATTTGACTTTTGATAGGTTGACAAGTCTATCAATGCAATGTATAAGAGATTGCAGAAGAATTTGACGTCAGAGGAACTGTTGCCTTCGCTGTGGGATAAGTTGAAGGTATGTCTCTTTTATAGTGTGACAGCTGGTTTAAGGTTAAAAACCTTCTGGGAGTTTGATTTTCAAATTTCAGGATGATGCACCTTAAATTATTGATGATAGACTGAGTGATGAGAAATGGAAATGAAATCTGAATGCATATAGGTAAACTTGAAATGTGAGAATATATCTGTACTTGATTCACAAATAATTAATCTTTTGTAGAATTGTTAATGTAAGCTTGGTCTTTTTGGTATGTTAAAAGGAAAATAGACATTCTATCAGGACGTTCTGCTCAAAAGGATCATTTATAGGCAATTTTTTTTTTAAATGCCAAAAGAGGTTCAGTATACATGAAAAAAATTGAAGAAACTGATTGGGGACAATACCATCTACTTGTACCTTATAATTTTTATTTTCATAGTCAAATAACATTTTTGCTTGGAAGCACATAATCTCCCAACTCAATCTTCTACTTTGCTGAAATAAGCAATCTTTTCTAAATATTATGTCATGGTAATATTGCATTCTTAGTTTTTTTAATGCAAGTGAACAACACTCCTTAATATTTATTGCATGGTTTATCATGCTGTCTCAGTGGATATGACATTTTTATATAGTATAATTCATCAACATTATCAGTTGAATTGTGGATTACAATTAAGACCTAGGATTTTTGTTAGTCCTTGAATTTAGTTTGACAGAGACAAGATGGATGAGTATGCAGACAGTAAGAGCATGTTTTATACGTAGTATTCTATAGTACTGGACATTACGATAAGACTGGATTTTAACATCTTTTTCTTTATTAGTGTCTGATACTGTATAGTTACCCTTATCATACGTGTTAATGTCATTGGATATTGTCCACGCCATTACTATCAGTATAGGAGTACATCACTAGATCTTTTTGGTCGAGAATGAACATGTAAAGTTATCCTCCTTTCGAAATTGACATACACATGGAAACATTGCATGCTTCAGGCTTTGTATTACTTGTTTGGAGTCTTGCTCTGTATTTCTCTTCCAACTGTTTTTTCCTAAATTTAAATTTGTACATTCTGAACGCTGTCGTGCTCTGTTTGGTGGATAAAGGTGATTTTTTTTTTTTTTTTTTTTTACAATTACTTGACATTCTAAATCTTCATATTCAACAATGTAACCCGTGTTTTAATTATTGGCAGAAGGAGTTTCTTGACAAGTACGACAGTTTTGCCCAACTTGTAGCAAAAATTTACCCCAACGAGAGCATCCCATCTGTCTCAGAAATGAGAGATCTTTTGGCATCTATGTAGAGGAGCAGCAACTCTTCTAAGTTTATTAGTTTTTGGAGCACAAAGTTGTATCTATACCCACAATTTGTTTCTTTCATCGACCAATATTATTTGTATTAAGACATTAAGATGAGTACCGTTGTGTATTATTATATCTCAAATTTTTTAGCTTTGTTTAATTTGAAGGAAATGTGTGTTACTATTATTGATATTCTAGACTTGCGCTTTATTGCCTGAATACTTTGAAGGGCCCTAGAGTTGGGGGAAACTTTTAAAAGTGGCCTTGGTCAACTAGCCTTTTTATTAAAAACGTAAAAGGTCAATTTTACCCTTAATGAAATGGATTTTCTTATTGCAAAACATATCCTTTATTTATGAATGGTTTTAAAAACTAGTTTTAATATTTCTTTATTCGTCTTCACTAGATATCTCTTCTGATTCTAATTTTTCTTCAAAAATTTCGTAAGTTTCTATTTTTTCGAAGTTAATTTCTTCACATTCATCCGTAATTTGTTCAAAATTTGTAATTAGTATTCTAACTTTCTTTTTTGAACATTTGGTACTTATATGTTCTTCTTTATTACAACTCCAACATTTACATTGTTTTTTTATCTAATGGTTTTTGTTTATAAGGTTTATATTTTCTTTTTGATTTAAAATATTTTTTTTAAACTTATTATATTTTTTATATTTCTTGGGTTCTATTTTTCTTTTTCGTTTATATTCATAACATTCCCAATTTCCTGGTATTTCAGTAACTCTACAACAAATCTTATCTTGTATAAATCCTGATTATTTATAAATCATTTGATTACTACATATAGTATTTATTTCATCTTTTATAGTTTTTATTATAAATCCTAATGTATAGCCTTCTTCATTTCTTCCAATTGTTTTTCTTTTATTTTATTTTGAAAATAATTATTTCATGGTAGTGGTAATTTTCTAATAAA